TTGAAATTTCTCATCGTTGAACTTCATACTGTTTTCTGCAACCCACTGAAAGATTCGGTTGATGTCTGCCTGAAGCCTTGCAGTGTCTGCAATGGAAGACACTGTCATGCAGATTTGGGTGTCATCTGCAAAGGAAGATACGGTGCTGTGGCTGACATCCTTGTCTATGTCGGATATGAGGATGAGGAACAAGATGGGAGCGAGTACTGTGCCTTGTGGAACAGAGCTTTTCACCGTAGCTGCCTCGGACTTTACTCTGTTGACGACTACTCTCTGTGTTCTGTTAGTGAAGAAATTATAGATCCATCGACCGACTTTTCCTGTCACACTTTTCATGGTCACACTTGTCGAAGGCTTTTGCAAAGTCTGTATATATTACATCTGCATTCTTTTTATCTTCTAGTGCATTTAGGACCTTGTCGTAGTGATCCAATAGTTGAGACAGACAGGAGCGACCTGTTCTAAACCCATGTTGCCCTGGGTTGTGTAACTGATGGGTTTCTAGATGGGTGGTGATCTTGCTTCTTAGGACCCTTTCAAAGATTTTTATGATATGGGATGTTAGTGCTATCGGTCTGTAGTTCTTTGCTGTTGCTTTACTGCCCCCCTTTTTGGAGTGGGGCTATGTCTGTTGTTTTTAGTAACTGTGGGATGACCCCCGTGTCCATGCTCCCTCTCCATAGGAAGGTAAAGGCTCGTGATAGGGGCTTCTTGCAGTTCTTGATGAACACGGAGTTCCATGAGTCTGGCCCTGGGGCAGAGTGCATGGGCATGTCATTTATCGCCTGTTCGAAGTCATTTGGCGTCAGGATAACATTGGATAGGCTTGTGTTAACCAAATTTTGTGGCTCTCTCATAAAAAATTCATTTTGATCTTCGACTCTGTCTGGTTAGTGGCTTGCTAAAAACTGAGTCATATTGGGACTTGAGTAGCTCACTCATTTCCTTGCTGTCATCTGTGTAGGACCCATCTTGTTTAAGTAGGGGCCCAATACTGGACATTGTTCTCGACTTTGATTTGGCATAGGAGAAGAAATACTTTGGGTTTCTTTCGATTTCATTTATGGCTTTTAGTTCTTCCCACGATTCCTGACTCCTATAAGATTCCTTTAGCTTGAGTTCGATTCTTGCTATTTCTCTGACCAGTGTCTCCCTACGCATTTCAGATACATTGACCTCTTTTAGCCGCTCTGTTATTCTTTTCCGTCGCCTGTAAAGAGAGCGCCTGTCTCTTTCTATTTTACATCTACTCCTCCTTTTTCTTAGAGGAATAAGCCTTGTGCATACATCGAGTGCCACCAAGTTAATCTGTTCTAGGCATAAGTTGGGGTCTGTGTTGCTTAGTATATCTTCCCAGCTTATATCGGTTAGGACTTGGTTTACTTGGTCCCACTTTATGTTTTTGTTATTGAAGTTGAATTTGGTGAATGCTCCCTCGTGACTAGTCTCATTATGGTGGTCTGGGGCTCCACGCATACATGTCTGAACCTCAATTATGTTGTGATCTGAGTATATTGTTTTTGATATGGTGACATTTCATATCAGATCATCATTGTTAGTGAAGATGAGGTCTAGTGTATTCTCCAGTCTAGTAGGCTCTATTATTTGTGAGTAAAGGTTCCAATTTGCCCGATCAAATTGCCAGTGTGGGATACGAAGAGGTGGTGAATATGAAGGGGAAGTAAGAATGATTGGGAAATGATCACTGTCATGTAAATCCGGGAGAACAGACCAGGTGAAGTCTAATGCGGCGGAGGAAGAGCAGACTGAGAGATCGATGCAAGAGAGAGTGTGAGTCTGAGGTTCAAAATGGGTGTGAGTACCTGTATTTAAAACATGGAGGGGGTGGGTGGCAAGAAAAGCTTCTAACTGAATGCCACGGGAATCACAGTGAGACCCCCCAGAGGAAATGATGGGCATTAAAATCGCCAAGTAATAGAATCGGTGGTGGTAATGACGAAACAAGAAAGGCAATATCCAGAATAGATAATGCCCGAGAAGGAGAGAGAGATAAAGAACATAGCGTATACCACCTATGCAAGTGGATACGGGCTGCTGTGTAATGCAGTGAAGTACGAACAAATAGCTAATGGTATGGAATATCAGTGTGTAGAAGGGCACTTTCATTAAAGGTCTCATCAGGAAAAGGATCTGAAGAATACAATTATAGCCTGAGATGGGAAAGATAACAGCAGAGTGTAATTTTGGTTCCTGTAAGCAAACACCAACAGGGGAAAACTGGGAGAGTAACATCTGAAGCTCACCCCGATTACCCCTGAGGCCGCGTATATTCCATTGTAAATAGGCCATGATTGGCAATGATAAAGATACTTGAAATCCGCAGGTAAGGGTTCCTATGGACTAGAGGGGTTAGAAAAGTCCACATGTGGAGGCAGCGGAAAACGTTCAAGCAGCGAAGGAACGGTGTGCTGTGAAGAAAGGAGTTGCGCAGATGGAGGAGAGGAGAGAGAAGGAACAGAGGGTGGAATCAGTGTCCATTGATGGTTTGGTCTCTGCAATATATTCAGAGATTGCTTCAAGTGTTTCGGAATTCAGAGACGTCATATGGGAGACAATATTGGAGATGGTAGGGGGAGGATGAGTAAAGATTGGAACTGTAATAGACTGTACCAAGGTAGTGGGGGGGGGGCGAAAGGGTGGAGGGAACTGGAGAAGAAGCGTGGAAGGGGACAGAAGAGGCAGAAACCTGGGAGGTGGCAGAAGAGGAAGAAACTTGGGAGGGAACAGGGGAGGTAGGTTTAGTACGAGGAGGAGGGTGAACCTCTACACTTGTTACAGAGCTAGTGAGAGGGGAAGAACCCGGTACAGAGACAGGGAAGGTAAAATGAGGAGGTGGAAAAAGGGAAGGAGGGGTTAAAGGACCTTTTTTTGACTTCAGAGAAGTCGATATTGAGGCTTGTGAGGGAGAACACAAAGAAGCGAGAACAGACTGAGGCGTTGAAGTAGGGACGTCTGAGCCTAGGACAGCAAAAGAATTAGATACAGGAGTGACTATGGGAGAGGTAACCACGGAGGAGGTTGCAGAAGATGGGACCCCAGAAGTGGGGGGAAGTTTTGAAACATGGGAATAAGAAACACGAGGTAGTCTCCCTTGGAGGCGGAGATGAGAAACTGCCATGGCATAAGGGAGACCTTCTGCCTCTTTGAGGTAACGGATTTCCCGCTCATTTAAGTAGGCTTGGCAATGGCGAGAGTACGAAGAGTGAGCCTCATGACAATTAAGGCAAGAGGGAGGTCGATTGCAAGATGTATTAGAATGGTCATCGGCACCACAGACTGGGCATTCGGCTATGGATCTGCAATATTTCGCTGGATGGCCAAATCGCCAGCAATTTCTACACTGTTGTGGTGTAGGGATCACCTTTCGAACTTGTAACCGATGTCCTGCTACATAAACTGAGGATGGGAGTTCACGGCTGTCAAAAGTTAAATGAGCCACATTGCTAGGGTATCGTCTCCGCCCGCGGGCAGGAAGAACATAAGTGTCTACCTTGAGGATTGGGAGATCTTGGAGTTCCAGCTGTTCAAGAATGTCATTGCCACATGTCTGGAAATTTTGTTGAACTATGGTATGGGGCAGAATGATGGTAACACTACAAGAATTGAGGGAATGATGTTTTTCAATAGTGACAGGAACAGTATCTATATGGGAAAGAAGAGAAAGATCATGAGCTTGGGTAGCATTCTGTACCGTGATGATGCGCGTACCGCTCTTAAGAGCATGAAAAGAAATATCTTTACCAACATGGCGTAGGAGTGCCTTGCCAATACTGTGGTCGGAAAGATAAGCGGTAGAGGAAGTCGGTCATAAAGTGAAGAATTTAGTACATTGTGCAGTCTGAAACTAAGCGTGGAAAGGGAGTGCAGGACGTGTCGATCTTTTCTGAGAAGAACGAGAAGGTGGAGAAGTATCATCAGCAGGTAATTGTCGTTGGCGTTTAGGCGTGGGACCAGAGTTGGTCGACGTGGAATGAGCCGGCAATTCAAAAATTGCCGCACCATAGAAGGAGAGGCCGGAAGCATAGTCAAAGGAGAGCGGAGGTCAGGTAAATCAAAGGAGCCAGTCGAGACCTCAGTACCTGAAGCGGGTGAGGAAACAGCACCGGCAAGAGGTACAGAGGCATGAGGAGTGTCTGAAGAGCGGTCCAAAGACGAGGCAGGGTCAGAACGGGGTGCGGTATCAAGAAGGGGCCCGGGGGTACCAGGTTCATGGATTGGGTTCTCCATGCTTAGGTTACTTCTTTCTTTTTGTTTTTAAGAAAAAAAAAGAAAGAAGAAAATAAAAATAAAAAAAGAATAAAAAAAGGGGAGACCACGGAGGGATAGTTCCTAGGAGGAATGTAAGGGCCAGAAATCTCCCTCCGTGCCCAAGAGGACCTCAGCACCGCAAGTAGCGTAGATGCAGCATGGAACCCGTGCCGAATATAGCAAATAATATTGTTGCAGTAATAACACCAGGAGGCAGCTCTGATGAAAACTCACACTCACACGAGCTTTTAAATCTCTGCACAAAATTCAATTTAAACCAGCAAATAATAGAGCCTACTAGACTGGAGAATACACTAGACCTCATCTTCACTAACAATGATGATCTCACCCACTGACTATAAACCCAGAAATACTAATCTTAATCTTAAAATAATAAATCCTAACTAGTCATAAGTTTGTCTATGATACTCCAATATAGACACCTTGTATTGTGCCAAAACAAAAGCATTCACATTGCTAAACTCACAAATTATGATGTAGTCACTTAGCCTTAATACCATAATCTGTAAGGATTTAATGTTAAGAATTAATCTAAGTCTGCTCGAAATGCCTAGCCATGCTAGGTGTCCTAGTGGCTCCCTCTGTAATTAGTATTTTATAACATGTAAACCACACAATACCCAAAACCTGTAAACCCCACATTGTAACCCTTATAGAGAATAAACTTGAATTGAATTGAATTGAACTGAATTAAATATGTCATCACTCACACAGGGAAGCACACCATTAGTCCTTCCATTTAGATTTCTTGCTGGCCAGTGTAGGATTCTATTTATGCAGGCATTGTGGTGTGATCCATCTACAGTAATTAAATAAGTGGTAATATGAATTTTTCTAATAACACCATTATAATTTATGTACAATAATTATATTCTGTGTATCCAGCAAGTCAAATTATATAGTCCACATTATTTAACAATTTACCATTATTGGTATTAATGTTTAATATTGTAATTATTAATTTAATATTAGGTCTAGCTTTTTGTGAGTGGAGATGTAGTGGGCACCGAGGGAGTGACAGTTCTGCGACACAGTCACTAAATCCCACTTACCTCGCCCAGATTACTTGCATGTAATAATTCAGGTAATACCCTGTAAACCTCAGGCAGGTAATTTCCTACACTTTTGTCTAAATCGAGGGAGATTTTAAATGAAAATTTTAGGTGTGGGGGTCATAGACAAATTTTCTATTATACTAGTTAAAACATTACCTGTCCTCAACTTGACTTATTGTTCTGATCAATATGTTATCTAAATTTAAAGAAAATTTTTAAGTTTACCTAGATGCAACTCTTACAACACTTGACTGAAGGTTAAAATCACAGCTGAGTGCGGAAAAAAATATACAAGCTCAAATTATCACTAATTAAAGGAGCTCCATCAGAAAAAGAAAACATCGGAGAATTTTATCACTATCACGGCTAAATGCAGTTCCATATACTAGAACAATTTTTACTTAAGAACTACAAAATTCATATTCTTTGAAGCATTCATACGATAAGTGGTTTTCTTATCCTTTGCTAATTAACGCCGTTGGTTTACTTAGAAACTAGAATATCGAGCGATAAGTCATATAAGATAATCTTACCTGTGACAGCAGGAGTCCAGCAGAGGTGAGTGACTGCAGTGTGATGGCGCATTTGATACATGGAAGAATCTATTCTTTCAGATTTCCCTTTATCATATTTGAGTTATCAGCTGCACTACTTTGGTTATTAAGATGATACTGAGCAACCGAATTACATATCATTGTAACTAATTAACTTAAACTATAGTTCAGATTATATATTTTCTTATCACTCAAGACCAACTACAATATGTAAATGACATCCCAATACTTACTGAGGAGCTTTGCGCATGAAGCATTAAGCACCTTCGGGCCAACACAAGTGCAGAAGTGAAGTATTATCTTTGATATTAAATTTTGTACCGTGTTCTTGTGTTTGTCCACAAAATCTCTTAACACAATGAATGGGAATAAAATAAATGAAGACAATGAAAAGTGAATTATGAGATAGACAGGAACTCGACGGTTCTGGGGTGAAAAATATAAATTTCCCTTTTGTGGTGGTAAATCTTGCTATATATCATCTGTATATCAACACAAGAGGATAATAATAAATTTATATTTCCTAATATTTATTGCCAGACATACAACTGTTGATAATTTAGTTTCCTGGTATGTTTATCTACTCTTATTTCATATATCATCGATATTAGTGATTCCTGCGCAAGTTTAAAGATTTTAAAAATATTGATGAAACTTAATATGATGTTCTTGGATTAGGATACGATCTTTAAATAAATTTCCATTTTTACTATACCCAATAGTGGTAATTGTGATAGATTTAGACTATGTTACTTTTGAAGTGTTTGGAACTAGGCTATATTTCAAAACAATTAACTTCATGTTTTATTCTCTAATCCACTTATCGTGCTCATGTTTTTTTTATTAAAAAATTTATTATTGTATCAGACCACCATTGTGGCCTACTGGCGAGCATAATAAATGCAAAAAAAAAAAAAAAATCTCCAAGTTACTAGTGAAATTGATGTATTAAAAATTTATTAGTCATTGTTAAAAAGAATATGAATATCCAGGGATATTAGCAATTTAACATGACAAAGTTTTTAAAAATCAATGTTTGGTGAGAACAACTATGTCCCATCAATTATCATGGAAGACTGCTTCGTTAACCTTAAATTTAATTTATCGCAATCTTTGTATGCAAACATATACTAAGTTCGTCGTGATGGACAACTACCGAGCATGTGAATCGGTGTACAAACTATCTTAATATCCAACAAAATATTATCAAAGATAATACATTTCTCTCATTAGCCAAAAAGAAAAAAAATCAAATATAATTCTGAGTAAAACATTTCAGCATTGCAATCTCTTACAACAAATGAGGAATCAAAAAAAAATTTTTATGTCATCAGGCCCATTTAAGTACAGTATATAGGAGTCTAGCAAGGTATTTGATTAGCTAATGAAAATGCAAACAAGGCAGGAGTGAAATTTTAGCGTCGAAAATGGATGTTAGAGTAGATTTTAGCATCTACTGGCGCGGGGGGTAGACGTAGTAGTTGAACATACTTTCGAAGTGTTCGTAGCGAGCAGAATGGAGCTCGGGTTCTCCATTCTTACGCACGAAGTCTTCGCAGTCCTCCAACGTGGCTGTGTTCCTCTCCACGCGCTCTCCGAATCCAGATTTGTAAGAAGAATAACGCTGTGGGGGGACGAAATTAAATCAGTCTTATTCCTCACCGTTAAATGCCAAGGTATGAGTGTTGAAAGATGTGAAAAACAATGAATTATAATGTTACTGTTTTGTTTTAGGACACTTAAAAAATATATTTATAGTACAATAGATAAATTTATATAAAAGATTGCTATCAGACAAACTACAGCCTCTCCTCACTTAGCGGCGTACTCATTTACCGACTCCTCGAACTTACGATGGGCTCTCTGACCAGTATGCATGTCTAAATAATGTACACAAGCTGATTTTTTCTCTTCTATTTATTACAATATACAGTACACTACTGCATAACATTTAAAAATATACCAGAAATGTTATAAGTGGTGCAAAGGTGACATTAAAACGATATCAAAGATAGTTGACACAAACCCACTACCATTATAGTATGTTCCTCACTTAGCGACGAATTCGCTTACCGACGTGGTCTTAGGATTGGAACTCTGTCGTCAAGTGAGGAGAGGTTGTATAATCCTCGTGTTGCACGTACAAAATTTTAACGATCCAAATATATATTCCATTATTTATTTTTCAAATAATTTAAGATAACGCAAAATGATTAATATAACAGTCTAATTTGCCCCAAGTATTAAAAAATAATATTCATATTGGCATATTTCTTTTAAATATTTTGCTTATAGTATACCACACAAGTTAACACAGGACATATACACACCGAGAGGTGTACATCTCAGTGCATATATCGTGCTGAGTTTACTTTAAAAAGGGAACAAACACTTTAATTTACCCAGACATTTGTCCAAAACTGTCGCTAAAAAGTATGAAAATTCAGTGCCAAGATCAAACTTTGTAATTTTGATTAGACAAATAAATTAGGTAGCTCATGGATTCGTGGTAACGCCTTCATCTTACAAATGAAGGGTTTGGGTCAATTCCTCGTTCGAGTCGAAGCATCAGAGAAATTCCTCTTATTGTCCCTCGTTGCTTAGCAGTAAACAAGTACTTAGGTTTTAGTTAGCTGTTCCAAGTCGTATCCTGGGAGTCGGTAATATATCTTAAATAGGGATGGATTTGAAATAGCTGTCGTAAAATAAAATATAAGCTTTATAATCTAGTAAGCAGACATTCGAGAAATTAGTACGTATATAGATGTTAATATCATTCAATAAAAACAAATTCGTTAACTTACTTTTGATATAGCCAAGCTTAGAAATCAACTAAACTGTGTAGGATAATGAGTTAATTTGTCACAGACCTACTGAGAATCTTAATCATGTAGAACCTAAGGTTTTCAAGAGCAAGGGAACAGGCAGAGATACTAAACAGCACTCACATGCTGAAGGGAACGAGCAAAGCAGCCGTCAGAAATCATGCGAGCAGCGTTCTTGAGTGCTCGGGCGAAGGTGTCCATGGCCAGGATGTGACCGTGGAACAGGTCGCGGGGCTCCACGGACTCGCGACGAACCCGACCTCCAAGAGTGAACCCGCCATGTTGCAGACCGCCCTGAAAAACCAACATATCACCCTCTCCCTCAACCAGTTACAAACTATGACTACTTTGTTATGTAAGGGCAGGGTGCACATGGGTTAATAACTAACCCCCATTTTGGAAAGGAAACTTATATTTCAGACCTCCTGGATCACTGTCAAATCTCTTGACAATGTGATGAATAAAACATGTGCAACACATAGGTTTCTTTGCCAAAACATTTCACCTACGCAGCGCTTCCTCAGGCGAATACAGGCAAATGTAACAATGGAGACAGAAGGAACTGACCACCTGCGCTTGATGCGCAGACATGTTTAGCCAATAAAGGTATCCAGGTGTTGCACGTGCGTCTTATTCATCAACCTATCGGAACTGTATACCATCAAAATTATGAGCTCTTGAAAATAGCCCAGAACTGACCAAAACGTCGCCTATAGCTGGCTATCCAAATTGTAGGGTGGCTGAGAGTTGTTCCAGCCTCGGTATTTTGACTATTCTGAGAACAGATTGTACGAGTACACTCACCTGCTCCAGCACGCACTTCATGACGTAGGTAGCGTCGCAGACGTCACGAGCACAGATGTCCGAGGTAGCTTTCAACTCTGGAAAGCTGTCGGAGGCATCGACAGAACCGAGCATGTTGTAAGCAGCGGCTATGTAGACATCGTGCTCGTAGGGACGCCCCGTGAGGCGGGAGAAGGCAGGCTTGATGTACAACTTATACTGCTTCTCCAGACCGAAGTGTCGGAGCATGTGCATGGTAGCCATGGCGTCTGCCTCATACTGGTGACGGCGAGGGTCGGATGGCTTGGGCTGGATCAGCAGCTGACCCTTGTAGCTGATCTTGTCCTTGTACTGCGCAGCCATGCGATACAGCTGTGCCATATGAGACATGTCCCGGAAGAATTGGCGCTGCAGAACGCTCTGGTAACCGTCGCGAGGGTTGAAGAACACGAAGTTCTCAGCGCCCAGGCGCTTGGCCGCCTCCAGACTGCGCTTTACTTGTGCACATGCATAGGCGAACACGTGAGCGTCGGGGTTGGCACCTGCGCCGTTCATGTAGCGAGGGTGAGTAAAGAGGTCAGCACTATAGTAGAGTGGCTTAATCCCAGTTTGCTTCTGGAGTTCAGCCGCCAGGGTCACCATCTCCTCGAGGTAACTGTTGGTCTCATCGAAGTTGTCACCTTCAGGGGCCATGTCGCGATCACTTACCTGTCACATGCACAATACCTGATATAGATTACACAGATCTACATATCACCACTTCCATCCTATGTATCCGTATTAAGTTCAGTGAGAAAGCTAAAGCTTAGAGACCACCTACCGAGTAGTACCTGACCGTCAACTTGTGGAGAAGCTCGAAAGCTGCGATCATGCGACGCTTGTAGTTATCCAAAGAGTGTGAGGCGTCCTCCCACGCCCTCTGGTGAGCTCGCTCTCCATAGTGGTTGTCTGAACCCAAGTACCTGTTAAGACAATACCTGCATTTCCACCTGTTAGTAAGAAATCTGTACCCCACGCCTGCTGACAAGGCAACATCTGTAGTATTGTAATACTGGAATTAATGCACACATGAATGCACAGATAAATTTTAGAATAAAAAGGCACTAAGTGTCTAGAACAATTTACAAATATCCCGCGAATAGAAGAATGAAACTTACGACGATATTTCGAAGGGTGTAACTGACACCCTTCCCTTCACATTTCGGTGTAATTACTTAATGGTCCAATTTGGACCGAAACGTCGCTATAAGTTTCATTCTATGTGCAGGTTGTGCGTGTAGATAAAATTTAACTATACAAGTAATTAAGTAACATGTCCAGGAATCTCTTTCACTCTCTATAAGTAAATTAAATGCATAAATCAATATCAACGAAATCGAGAAGACAGACAAGTTACATCTGTTTTTAAAAATTAAAAGACTAGGAAAAACTATCACGTAATTACGTACTAAAAAAACTAAATTATCGAACAGGTCCTATACTTCAGTGCTGCAATATTAAAGACTTTCTTGGGAAGAGCCTCGACTCCGGTGAGGGTTCTTGAACCATGGAACTGGAGTAAAACAAGCTCTGCAGGGGTCAGTTAGAGCCGTCTAAAAAAACTGGATGTTTGTTGTCCGCTGTATAATCCTATAGAAACATCTCCAATGTCCCATAACCCATGACCTTCGCCTTTCCCTTTTACATCAAAACCCTCAAGAGGCACAGCAACTGCAGCAGAACTCCGTCAAAAGATCTAGATATAGCAAGCCTCCCATGAGGTCCAGCTGAAAATCAACACTTTCAAAAGGCCCAGGAACTTTAGCTCAACACATTCCACTAGCACCAACAATTAAACGCCTTTAAAGGCTTAACAGATTTACATCAACACCCAGTAGTAATCCTGGAGCTAGAACTCAATCAGGTAAAAGTCAAAAGATAGGGTTAAACAAAACTAGGCTTGCTTGTCCTTAGTTTGGCTTTTCTCACATTAAATTCATGAGGGGGAGAGCTAAACCCATAGGAATAATACAGCACCCATGGATGAATGGGAGGCAATCAGGTTCGATCAAAGGGGAAGATAGGTCCAATTCCTTGGATCAAAATCCCCCTCACCGGCATCAAGAAGTGTTACACTGAGTTTTGGTTAGTCATGCTACAATTATTATTATTATTATAAAAAAGAAGCGCTAAACCACAAGGGATTGCTGCAATATTATGGAAGCCAATAGACTGTGTTATTAAATTCAGAATGTTTTATGTAAGATACATTGTAAAATACAAGTCTGAATAAGCACATTTTTCTGATATAAAATGAAAATATGTAAACGGCTAAAAGGAATAGCATAATAAATTGTCTGATTAAACTGGCATATTTTTTTTCAGCTTGATACCACAATTCTTTATTCCTCTAAAGGGAAAACAATACTTTTTTCAATAAAATTGGCACCTAAAAAGCCCACTAAAAATCGAAGTTTTTTAAGAGGCTTCCTCGAATTATGACACGGAGACGGATCTCAACTCTGTTAAAACAATATATGGGCAAAATAGCACTTACTCAGCCCAATAACACTGTGAATGTCCTTTAAGGAAAATGTACAAACTTTGAAAGTTTGAAGATAATCAGATTAAGGGATTCTCCAGTTATCATATGGAAAACAATACTCCATTTTTTCTCAAATTTTATTATACAACTAGAAAATTTATATGTACACAGCCTAAGGCTGCAGTAAAGTTTTCTTTCGGTTTGATATGTATCAAAAGAGATGCTAAAGTTGTCAAAGTGAAAGTGGAGCACATTTTTTAACAACATTGACAAATTAGCACCTACAGTCTAGCAACAATCAAAGCTTTCTAAGGAGGTTAATCTAGTGCTGAAAGTTTGAAGCCAATTATGGAAGAGGCATGACTCAAGAAATCGTAATGACACGATTGCAAACAAACCATACCCCCGGCCGGGATTGAACCCGCATTTTCGAATGCTCCAAAGTAAATAGCTGCCGTATTTTCATTCATAATATTAGCAAACTGATACCTGCACAGCCCAATAAGAATCCGAGCCTTTAAGTATGATGCACCAATGCTGAAAGTTTAAACGACAATAAAAATGACATTCAAGTCACCGCACAGAAAATTTAGAGTGGAAAAAAATCCATCAACTGTTATAATAACCAAACTACCCACACCAGCCACTCAGTCGAGAGTAAGTATAAATAACCTATGTGGCATGTCAAGATATCTTATTAATGAAAATAAGATACCAGATATACTAAGCAAATTTCCTAAATTTGCTTGTAACAGATAAGTGAACTGTAGATATAAATCCAGATATACTCCTGTTAACCCGTTTGGGGCCTAGTTCCTAGGCCTTTTGTGTATCCACATGCTCTTGCGCTACCGTCCACAGGATGGATATGGGATGCACAATAAACTAGCCACTTCGGTGGGAAATCTAATAATCCAGTTAAATACAAACTTTCTGCACTCCCTCTCCACATCCCCAGCCTGCTGTAAGGAACCCAGATTACAAGTAGGTTCTCATCCGTCCTCCCAATGCCCCTTAATTAATAATAATCTTATAGTTTTATTTCTGCAAGTACATGTACAAGGTATACAGACCATAGATGACATCAGTGACATACTACTATATAGAAAGCCTTATGTTATGCAGAGCATTTCGGGCAAATTAGGCCAATTTTGTCCCAGGATGTGGCCCACACCAGTCGACTAATACACAGGTACTTATTTTACCGACAGGTGAACATGGACAGCAGGTGTTAAGAAAACACCCCCTAGCGTTTCCACCCGTACCAGGGATCGACCCCTGGACCTCGATGTGCGAGGCAAGTGTGCTAGCAATCGAGCTACAGGACTTCTTAATTATCGAGCCTCACAATGCTCCCCTCTTAACTTTCCTTCCTTCCTCCCTTCTCTCTCGCCCTTTCCTATTTCCAACCTCCCATCCTACCATTTCATTATTATTCCTCCTCCGCTCTTCCCTTCCCTCCTTTTCCAGTTATTTGCTTGCCCATATTTCACTCCCTCTTATCTTTCTTTTCTCTTTCCAGTCTTCTCTCCTGCCGCCTTTCGAAGATGAAGCGTACCTCGTGGTACCAATGATTCAACATGTAACAAAATCACACAGATTAAGCTCAGAAAAGTGATAACAGATGTCAACTTATCAAGATTGCCTCGTTGTGACACGTGACTAGAGATCCAAGGGCATAGTGATCACATACTGCAGGGACTTCGATGACAACACATCAATACTCGCCAGGAGCTCTACAATATTTGCAGCAATTTTGTACAACTTGCCGCCTCTAATACACAAGACTCAGACTGAGGTACAAGGAAAACAAGATATGAATATCATCACAGGGGTAGCTGTGGCAGCAAGTAGGACAAGTTAAGATTTTGTTCGGATTTTTAACCCCGCCGGGTTAGCCGCCCAAGATAACCCAAGAAAGGCAGCGCGTCATCGAGGACAGTCTTATTTCCATTGGGGTTCTCCTAGGACCAGTGTCAGTTCTCATAAAACTCTTAAATCATGATGGAAAAACTTATAAACTCAAGTGAAGGTAGTGTACGATTCAGCGCCAGGCTGTTTCAGCATCAAACTATTCAGCGCCAGGCTGTTTCAGCATCAAACTATTCAGCGCCAGGCTGTTTCAGCATCAAACTATTCAGCGCCAGGCTGTTTCAGCATCAAACTATTCAGCGCCAGCGCTGGTCTGTTCAGAAATGAAGTAGAGCACCTGCATGAAATTTCATCAAACTATATATCTACACAACGTTTTTTTTTTTTAATAATTCTGAATTAAATAACCAATCTCTTAAATAATTCAACACATCATTGTTCACAATAAATATTTCTTTTCCATATTTTATTTTTGTGAGTCTTAAAACTATGGTGGCGTTGAAACATCCTGGTGCTGAAACATCCTGGTGCTGAAACATCCTGGTGCTGAAACATCCTGCTGAAACATCCTGGCGCTGAAACATCCTGGCGCTGAAACATCCTGCTGAAACATCCTGGCGCTGAAACATCCTGGCGCTGAAACAGCCTGGTGCTCAAACATCCTGGTGCTGAAACATCCTGGTGCTGAAACATCCTGCTGAAACATCCTGGCGCTGAAACATCCTGGTGCTGAAACATCCTGCTGAAACATCCTGGCGCTGAAACATCCTGGTGCTGAAACATCCTGGTGCTGAAGCATCCTGGTGCTGAAACATCCTGGTGCTGAAACATCCTGGCGCTGAAACATCCTGGTGCTGAAACATCCTGGTGCTGAAACATCCTGGTGCTGAAACATCCTGGTGCTGAAACATCCTGGTGCTGAAACATCCTGGTGCTGAAACATCCTGGTGCTGAAACATCCTGGCGCTGAAACATCCTGCGCTGAAACATCCTGGGCTGAAACATCCTGGCGCTGAAACATCCTGGTCGCTGAAACATCCTGGTGCTGAAACATCCTGGTGCTGAAACATCCTGGCGCTGAAACATCCTGGCGCTGAAACATCCTGGTGCTGAAACATCCTGGTGCTGAAACATCCTGGTGCTGAAACATCCTGGTGCTGAAACATCCTGGCGCTGAAACATCCTGGCGCTGAAACATCCTGGTGCTGAAACATCCTGGTACTGAAACATGCTGAAACATCCTGGGGCTGAAACATCCTGGCGCTGAAACATCCTGGCGCTGAAACATCCTGGCGCTGAAACATCCTGGTGCTGAAACATCCTGGTGCTGAAACATCCTGGCGCTGAAACATCCTGGCGCTGAAACATCCTGGCGCTGAAACATCCTGGCGCTGAAACATCCTGGCGCTGAAACATCCTGGCGCTGAAACATCCTGGCGCTGAAACATCCTGGCGCTGAAACATCATGGCGCCTGAAACATCATGGCGCTGAAACATCATGGCGCTGAAACATCATGGTGCTGAAACATCCTGGCGCTGAAACATCTTGGCGCTGAAACATCCTGG